TGCACTTTTCTTTCCCCACCCCCCCCCCCCCATATGTTTTGGCAGCAGCCACTCAGCTGCTCATTCAATTTTCTTTTACATCTGTTTTTTTAGAAACAGTTAGGTCATCACATAGTAGGCTTGCCATTTGCCTGCTGGGGGCAGGGGTTTCCCTGCTTTAGGGCCCCCCGATCTGCTGGCCTGGATCTGGCTGGCTGGGGGAATCTCGCCCCCAAAGTGCTGGGATCATGCCAACATGCCCAGCACGATGATGTCACTTGGAGGTGACATAATCGCACCGGGCATGTCACCAGGAGGATGCTCTAGCACTTGGCCAAAAAATTCTATGGTACCATAGTTTCTGGCTGAATGCTAGAATGCTGAATGCCCCTGGCGATGTGCCTAGTGCGATGACATCATTTCTGGGTGACATCATCATGGCACATGCGCTACACACATATGCCAGAAGATCCTGGAAGGGAAGCTCCACCCCCCCACACTGGCAGAAGGTAGGGACCTGGCAGCCCCACCACAGTCCATCAGTTTCACTACAGGATGGTTACTGAGACAAATAATCACAGAAGATCCTGGAAGGGAAGCTCCACCCCACCCCACCCCACCCCACTGGCAGAAGGTAGGGACCTGTCAGCCCTATCACATAGTCCATCAATTTCACTAGGATGGCACATAGTCCATCAATTTCACTATAGGATGGTTCCCGAGACAAATAATCTTAAACACTGAGGTACTTATTATATGCTTTGCTTCTCTTAGTAAGATTAGATGATAGACTGTATGATGGCCTCACTGTTTTTAAGATTTTTTTTAAAGGCAAACAACAGCTGACTAGGCCTGTGAACAGCAACAACTAGAGTAAGGAAATAAGATTTGTGAAGGTTTTAGGAAAAATTGCTCATGTTCTGGAATTCCCTTTCTCAAGCCAAAATTCACACCTGAAGAATATTCAGCACCTCACAACTCTTCTATCCTCTGACCCCTTTAGAATAATAATGGCAAATTTACAATATAAGTGAACTTTTTCAAAAACTTTGCCATATGAACCCAGAGAGCTCATATTCTGTTAACTTACCCACAGTGCTTCTGGGCTTACTAATTCAAGTTCTTGGTGTGTTACAAATTAATATGTACTTTGGAACATTATTCACTAATGCTTGTACAATTTATAATCATTTTGTTGAATGTAATTAACAGTTAGAACAGTGATATGTAGTGTTTGTAGCTTATCAATTAGTATTTATGTAATTATGAATAACTACAGAAATTATGTGTGCTCACATGGAGTCCACATATTTTACCAAAGTACAAGATAAAATTATGCGCTAAGAGACTACATAATATTGGTACATGAAGTAATAATTCAGTTGTCATTTAAATCAAACTTTCATAATTGCAGAGAAGCCAAAAATAACCAATAATATTGGTAAACAGTAGCAAGTACGTAAGATGTGTATGTGATAATCAATGCTGTCATAAGAACATAAGAACATAAGAGATGCCAATGTTGGATCAGGCCAAAGGCCCATCCAGTCCAACACTCTGTATCACACAGTGGCCAGAAATACCAGTGCCATCAGGAGGTCCACCAGTGGGGCCAGGACATTAGAAGCCCTCCCACTGTTGACCTCCCCCCAAGCACCAAGAAGACAGAGCATCCCTTGCCCCAGAGCCCCTATCTATACCTTGTCCATATGAAGTATATATAAAAGATCTTAACAATCGAGTTCTGAACATGGCTCCCCCTTGTGGATCAAAAGTCTGCAAGTAATGAGATCCAGGTCTATGTTTAAGCCAGTATGGTGTGCTGTGTTTAATTTCTTGATGAGCTCTAATTTAGTACTATGTGCAAAGGGAGCCAGCCTACATGAACTACAGAAGCTACACACAAAAATACTGCAGCGCTTATATAAGGAAACCATCTTGCTGACACTATCCTTAGTGGATATGCACTAAGGAAAGATGCCTTTGTCCACCTGAACACTTGAGCTCCATCATTAATACTGGTAGTTCTTTTTTATAGCCCTTATCCAGCTTTGCCCACTGATCACTTGTACAGCCTGCCAGCATGATGCTTTTGTACTTTAAACTGCCCATATTGCTGCATTTCATACCCAAAGATATACCACAGAGGTTGAACTTAGCAAGTAGCCCTCACCAACCATCAACAGTGGCTTTCTGAGCTTCCTCCAACAACATCCCCATGTCACCACCATCTACATTGTCCTCTCTTCCATGCTGTAACTGAGCAAAGTGGCTCGATGAGCAGCTCAATGATCCTGAACACCATCTCTACAACACCACATGTGAAGGACGAGTTCCTTCCTTTTGTAGATTCACTGAAAGTTATTCCCCCCTGCAAGTGCTGCAGTAGACCTCAGGGTGCTTATAGGACTTGCCTTATTTATGGTCATGTTCACTTCTATGCAATATTAAGATTTCCAACAATATTGAACTTACCTTTCTGTATTTGACAGGGATCTTAATCTCATTTGGAGGACCCTAAGCTTGTACTTTGGGCCTACAACATTCTTTGTAGAAAATGTCAAGGTAATTTTTGATATACTGTCAAAATCCATATAAAATCCAGCAAGGATCTTGGCTTGTCTATACTGGTGAAATACTGCTGCATCACTAAGGAAAAATCAAATAAATTGTTAGGTTGACACTGAACGGTCTGATTCCCTAAAGTATATCCAATATTAGCAGTGGGCAAATTTTTATGAAAGCTCATCCTGTTCTAGACTAGCAAAACATGTGCTGCAGCAATCTAAATGCAGCCCACAGTTATTTATTTTAGCCTGCAAGTAGTTATTTACTTAAATATTTTATGGCACCTTTCCACCCAGTTCATGGTCCCCAAGGCAGTTGACTGCATTTGGTTTGTCGAGCCACAAGTTGTTCATATCTATCCAATTTAAGAGTCTCTTCTCTGTCAGAAACAGGCAATTCTGAGACATTCCCCTAACCCTACCCCCACAGTACCATAGCAAAAGCAGCCAAAGGGGGGGGGGGACGGGACACATTGTGAAGACTTCACACCATTCTAATCCCTGTCTGGCCTTTTAGTCCTGTCAGAGATTCGGTGTCTAATGTAAGGTTTGAAGCACATGTTACTGCAGGAAATGTGTGTTCCTAAACTTATGTTTTTAAACATAAAATAAACGCTGGGAGGTAGGGGAGTGGAAGGAAGACATGGCCAGTGTTCCCTCTAAGCTGAGTTAGTGTGAGCCAGCTCACAGTTTTTTAGCCCCCGGCTCACACATTTTTGTTTTAGCTCAGAAAGGATGGCTTCAGAGCAAACTAATTTATGCAATAGCCAAATGGCTCGCTCACAACTTTAATGCCAGTAGCTCACAAAGTAGAACTTTTGCTCACAAGACTCTACCACTTAGAGGGATCATTGGACATGGCCCTTCGTTATTCCCACATCTGCTTATTTTACTATACAGATTCTCTTTGAGGCAGTTTTTCTTGTCAGTTAGAATTACTCCACCTTAAGAGTTTAGCTGGGGAAATAAATAGCTTAGAATAATTTAGGGGAGAAATGTTGAGTGGGAACAGGCTTAAGTGCTCCTACATAGGCCATGTTGATGGAAACCATTGGGGAGGCAGTTGGCACCAGTTTGAAAGTGAGGCATATGAGCCAGGCTTTGCTGGATACAGTGGTGAAGGACTATTTATCTGAGCCCTATGAGTTGTGTGCCACTGATCCACTGGACTACAGGGACAGGACACAGATGGTCTGGCTGGACCTCTCCCTTGTGGCTCTTAGGCTTTTCCCATCAGAGGAGATAGCAACCCTGTCAGCTTGAACTGCTCACATCTGCTCCCCTGGAGGGTTGAGCAGCTGATCTTCCTGACAGTCAACTTGCTGCTTTTCAGATGTCCTCTTGGATTCTGAGAGCTAGTGAGCTGAGCACGTGCTTGTGCCTGCATCTTCCATGCTGGACAGTTGGGGAAAAACACCCTTCCCTAAATTTAAAACTCAGAAGTAGAGAGAAACAGAAGGGAAGTAATCCAGTCTGGTTTGCACGATATAAAATCCACATTCCAAATTGAGTTGTAAAAGAACTAAAACAAAAAAACCCCAAAACTCCCTCAACTAAACCCTATTTGCACAGGAAGGATGTTAGTGTTGCTCAGCACCTCTTGTCACAATTCTATGCAGAAATAGTGCCAAAATATTGTTCTTGCCACTCTCATAAAGGAAAAACCCCACAAACATCAGTAGAACAAGACATGTTAGGAAAGTAGGTGACTATGTCAGTTAGAACCCAGAGAAGCAACTAAATAAAGTTAATGCATAAAGTTCATCCATAAAGTTGGTGTTATGCTTCTTTACAGCATAGGGAGGAAACAGGAGCATCAGTGATAAAGGGCTGCTGTAGATCCTGAGGCTCCTCCTGCAAGCCAGTGATAGTGTAGGCCGCAGACTGCAGAGAAAGAAACTCCCCTCCCTCTTATTTCCCAAGGCCCTTGGGGAAGTAATGTTAGTGTGTATGTGTGTTTCTGTGTCAGTTTCTTGCCAGGCCTGTCTGGCTGCTTTGATACTGGCTTGTCAGGTTGGTTTGGCTTAGTTTGACACTGGTCAATGGTTCTGCTGGGATTCTCTGGTTTGATGCTGGTTCTGTTTGCATGTGGAGGCTTTTGGGTAGTGATTGCTCTTGTGTGTTTTGCTATGAGCTTCTTTGCACCGAAGAAAGCATGGATCCCCACCCCCAGGAAACAATGGTGACAAGCAGGAAGGCTGAGGGCACTTTGTTCAGGCATCTGTAGAATCTGACCCCTTCATCCAATTGGCTTGAAACTTGGAGGTCTTTAATGGACAGGCAGGATAGGGTTCCCTGCAATATTGGTGTCAACCACTCCACTCCAGCCTCCTGGAAACAGGGAACAATGGACCCCCCCAAATATCAGCATTTCAAACAAACAAAAAACAGAACCAAAACTCCAAAATGGTATGAGGTGACCTGAATACTCCAAAATATTGATACGGAATCCAACCCAATATCTGAATCTGAAAAATACCAATTGCTTTTCAGGCATGCATCCCCACTTCACACTGGCAAATAAATCCCATCCGTCATCAATTTCAATAGCCTTTACTTCCATTGGGTTAATCATAGCCAAAAACTGAGTTGTCCAAAAGGAAAACAAATCAAGTAATGTAAGAAACTTGCCTATTTATTTTGGATTCTATAATATTTCCTGCTCTATCTTCTATTTGGATTCTTATAAAACCTCTCCTACTACTTTTGTTCCAGGCAATGATATCCACAAAGTAATGATACACTGGAAAACAAAAATGCAAAATTAACACACAAAACATAATTAGCTTACAGAATTCACTGCCAACAAAGGTGCAGTGATGGCTTTGAATAGGGATGAGGCACAGTCAATACATGCTTTATGAAACGCTATTAGCCATAACTGCTAAATGAAGCCTCCATCCTGAAAGGCAGTGTGCCTCTGAGCACATTGATTGGGGCAAAAGGGAGGGTTCCAGAAGGCTGCTGTCTTCACACCTTGCTTGTGGGCCTCCCAGGCACTGGGTTGGCCAGTGTGGGAAGCCAGATGCCTGACTACAGACAGTGACACATCTGTCCCTGGTTTGATGCGGTTGGGATGTTTTTCTGCTTCTCCACAGCATTGTGTTTTTTCCTGGCTTTTCTCCAATCGTTCCCCAAACCATTTACCTGTGAAGTTTTGGGAATAGTTGCAGCAAAGCCCAGAGGGCTGTCATGTGAGTAGGAAATTTTGGATTTTCCCAGTCCTGACTACGTAGCAGCCATTTTCCTTGCCCCTTTCCCCATGGTGGCCCATCCCTCCTGGCACAGAGAGGCTTTTGTAAAAAATCAGGAAATGAGAAGATGCGCCTTTCCCCTTATATCTGATTAATGCAAGGGCTAGAGACTTACTTAAAAATTAAGCCTGGGAACTGACAGATTGTTATTACAGTGATAAAATGATATTCATTTGACAATATTAAAAAAAAAAACCCTGGCAAAGCCCTGGTGGTGTGTAGACAGGAACTGGGGCAGAGAAACCAGCCATGTGGAAGAACTGTTGCTGCTGCTCTGTATCAGCAGCCACAGCAGCAGTGGGGAAACTATACAAATCTGCCCCCACATGGAAAATGCCTAGATGGACCTTTAATTTGATCCAGCAGGGCTCTTCTTGTGCCCGTGATAATCATGCCCATTGTGCAATGGAATGTTTACCTTGTATAAAACTGTGGCTTAACTTTAGTTCCCACATTGATGCTGTAATAGCACAATTTCTCTTCTAAGATAATGTAGGAGGGAACATCATGGAATTACAGTGGGGACATAAGATAGACAGAAACAAAATGGCCAATAACTTTCAGAGGCCACCAGAGCACCATTAACCTGCCAATGCCAGCACAATGTCATCATCATTATTTTAATTATGTACAGTAAGAACCCCGCAGCCCAAGAAATGGCAGATGAGTTCAAAGCAATGGGTGATAGCCAGTCCTACTCCCTACTTTTTGTCAGTTCAGTTAGGATTGGGGGGAGGGGGCTTTTTAATCCTAACCAAACTGACAATTTTCTGTTCTGCTGCCAAAAAAAAAGCAGTTATAATTATAACAGTAAGGTGATTTTCTGTCTATGTATGTTTCTGTCACAGAGAGACAAAGAAAGTGAGTCTGTATAAAATGCTGACTTATGGATACCAGGATAGTCTAATGTTCCTAGTCTTAGGATTTCATGATACTTGACAGTATTGATAGAATTATGCTTAAATTGTGATGTTTTATGTTTACTATGTAAAATACTCTGAATTTCTTTAAGGAGGAAAAGTGGTATATAAATCTTAAAATAAATCATAAAGTACACTGTTGGGTCATATGGACAACAAAGCCAGCACCAGTCCTGCTGCCTTCACCATTTGCCATGCTTCAGACAGACCACATGTCGCTTGTAAGGATGGGACACACTAAATGAGGTTATTCCCCAGCAGGGCGTGGTGGTTAGAGCGCCATACTAAGATTTCTCAGAACCAGGTTCAAATCTCCACTTTGCCATGGACACTCGCTGGGTTAATTAAATTAATTATTGTAAGACATTGTGTGTAAAATAGCTAGGAGATCCTAAGACTGTCTAGCAGCCAGAAGTTCTAGCTCTTTTTTTAGCAATATGCACCCCTAGGTGGTGAGCAAGACTTGTTTTTATGGCAAGAGACGTTTCAGAGATGGTTTGACATGGCCTGCCTCTGCGTAGCAGCCCTGTAATTTCTTGGAGGTCTCCCATCCAAATACTAGCTAAGGCTGACCCTGCTTAGCTTCTGAGATCTGGTGGGATCTGGCTAGCCTGGGCTATCCAGGTCAGGGTACCCTCAGGCCAGTTACACACACTCAGCCGAACCCACCTCACTGGGTAAGATAGAGAAGAGGAAAAGAGAAGATAAAATAGAGGAGGGACAAACAGTGTAAGCAAGCAGCTTTGGGTACCCATTGCAGAGAAAAATAAGTATAAATGAAGTAAATAAAATAAATAATTCTGAAATAAAAGTCACACACAGGTGTTATTTATCAATTTGAGAATGACAGTGACATATACCTTAGGTCACACATCTTATAATGAAAGGGTGTACAGCTTTAGCTGTCTTGCATTGTACTTCTTGAAATTAATCTTTTATTGATTATCCAATGCAAATCCAGTTCTTTCTCACTTTCTGATCCAGCTCATTTGTCATTTCCTACCAGATTGCCCAGGTAATTTCCTGTGTTTAGCATTTTTCCCTAACACATGGATCTTTTGAGCACAACAGATTTCATAAATGATACAGCAACAAAGAACCAAGTCTAATCAGGAGTGTGCCTTGTTATCTGGACAGTAAGAAGTATTTTATTCATAACGCTCCCATACAATGAAAACTAGAGAAAGTGTAAAAAGAATGGTTAATCACTTACTGCAGAAAGGCTCTTTGTCTGAAGTGTCAAAGTAAGCATTTGTCACAGGGGGGTTCTTTTCAATTAAATGGTTCTTCCATTTATCAGCATAATAACCTAAAAATTCCAATTGGAATATGTTCAACAAAAAATTAACACACATAGAAAAGATAAAATCCTAACGATGGGCTTTTGTTTTATAATGTTTGGGGAAATCAAACTGGCATCCAACCACAAAAACCCAGACAAGTTATGCATGCTAAATTCCAACACAGCTATTGTATTTATGACAGCAAGTAGTCTCCACCACTCCAGCAAAAAATTACGCATTTCTTTCGTTAGTCATTTTATTTTACTTGATTTATTAGACTCATAACAATATTCTTACGAGCTAGGCAAAAACCTGTTCAAAAGATGTATTGATGGGAAAACAGAAAGGAAGCCGTGACAATTGCACTTGGTTTTCTCCCTTGCAGAACTGGCTAGTTGTTCTTCCTTGCTTTATTTTCCTACCTAAGCATGTATACTAGAACATGCCCCATAATTCTCTGCAAGGTAAAAAAGCAGCATGCACAGTTTGATTAAATAAGATGAAACAGAATCCAGAATGTAAACTTTGGGATGCGTTCTGACTGTTCACACTCCTCAGCTTCTAACAGAGGCATAGAACTGCAGGGGAAGAGAATGACAACTGTGTAGAAATGATGAAAATATTATTTTCCTTGGTCAGACTCTCTAGTTTCATAACATGTCTCCGCCTGTCTGATGCAGGCTGAGAGCAGCCTCTCTCTGCAAAGCACAGAATGGGATGCCAGTGATCAAGCGGGTTTGACAATTCCATCATAAGGAAACATGGGATGTCTGGGCCGGTGCATGCCTCAACGAAGGGTGCACAGGATTGTCAGCCAATCAATAGCTCCATTAATAGGTTAGATTGAGAAACAGTGACTTTCTCAAGGCCACACCATGAAGATTTAGCTCACAGGAAGGTATGAAATTTATTTCAGACAGTTATGGAAGAGGCTGGCCACTTGGAAAGCGCTGCTCATTTCAGCAGGGCCTTCTGTGGTGCCACCCTAAAACCGACTGTACACAACCACTCTCTGTTTTGGCTCCACCTTACAGAATGGCCTGCCTAAAGAAATCAGGAAGGCTCCCAAGCTTCTGTCATAACAAAGCCTATGTATAACTGAATTGTTCAAGAGGGCATTTTATAAAGGTAACAGGGATATTATATAACAGTGGAAACCCGCAAGGACTTGCAGGAGAAGTCTTATTTCTCCTTCTCCCCACTATTTCTGGTGCCACCCTAAAACCGACTGTACACAACCACTCTCTGTTTTGGCTCCACCTTACAGAATGGCCTGCCTAAAGAAATCAGGAAGGCTCCCAAGCTTCTGTCATAACAAAGCCTATGTATAACTGAATTGTTCAAGAGGGCATTTTATAAAGGTAACAGGGATATTATATAACAGTGGAAACCCGCAAGGACTTGCAGGAGAAGTCTTATTTCTCCTTCTCCCCACTATTTCCCTTTCCTGAAAGCCCCCATAGCCTCTCCCCTTTTCCTGCTTCTTTCTGTCCTTCTAGGGTTGCCAATCTCCAGGTAGGGCCTTGAAATCTCCTGGAATCACAACACATCTCCCAGCTACAGAGATCAGTTCCCCCACTTTGGGTTGTCTGCTTCAGGTTGGGAAATTCCTGAGATTTAGGAGTGGAGCCTTGGAAGGGTAACATTTGGGAAAGGAAGCTATCCTAGTTCCATGTACTGCAAAAATTTCAAGTTTGTCTCTTAACAGAGATAATTATTTCTCTTTTCCCCTTCATTTCAGGTCCATTCGGTATATGATCAGTTTTACTATCCTAGTTCCATGTACTGCAAAAATTTAGATCAAGTTTGTCTCTTAACAGACAGAGATAGTTACTTCTCTTTTCCCCTTCATTTCTGGTCCATTCGATATGTGATCAGTTTTGTATATGTTTTTGTTGAATTAATTGAGTGCTCAGTTTGAATTATACCACTGAGGAAGGCCAGGTGCCAAAATGAGTTTGGTATTGGTTCTTGCATATGGAGGTAACATGTACTTTCAAACCTGTATGTACGTAAATGGACATTTGTCTTTATATTGGGATTAGGTACTTCTACCCTGAACCACAAGATTGTTGTTTTTAAATGACATTTTAGCATTTCTGAATGTATTATTAAATTATATACAATATTTTGTGCATTTCCCTCCATGAGTTGTTATATTATACTTTCTTTTTCTTTATTCCAGTCTTTTTGGTTACCTTTCTCATGCAGAGTATGAGCTTTCATGTGCACGCAGACTTCCTCAGATACACTGAAATGGAAGTTTCATATATATAACTTCCATTTCAATGTATTGGAAGAAGTGTGCGTGCACATGAAAGCTCATACCTTGAATAAACCTTTGTTGGCCTTAAAGATGTCACTGGACTCTAACTTTGTTCTGTTGCTTCAGACCAACATGGCTGCCCACCTGGATCTTTCTCATGCAGGGTTGTGTTTTTCTTCCATTTTTTGCTTGTACTCAACCCTATCCTCAGGCTAGGAATCCTCCCTCAAGGGCCAAAACAGGCCTGGAAAGGGCACTGCCTCCTCACTCTGCCATTTTACTCACAAAAATCCAGCCTGGAATACCGTGGTTGCCTAGCAACAGGCATTGAGAGACTCTGTTGCTTAAAGCTACAGGTGCTCTTTTTATCATTTTTGGGTTTTTTAAACTCCCAATTTTTTATTTTTTATTTCAGGTTTGCAGAAGGATCTGTCTTGCCTGTTCAGAGCTCTAGTCACTGGATTTACGTATCCAAAGATATGGCTGACTTGGCTATTAGAATACAAAATGGAATTGTTCAGAATGGCATTTTTATAAAGGGAATGGAACTCTGAGCTATACCACTGCGTTCAACATGTATTATCTGTTTGCAGTATGTATTCTCCTGCTCTTCCTGCATTATTTGCTACTAATAACACCATTTTCTGTGCTAACGTAGACTAGGACATCTGATAAACAATGCAATAAGATTACAGCAATGTGAAACAAACTATAAAGTATCATGTCTAATAGTTGCTGTAGATTTTCTGGGTTGTGTGGCCGTGGTCTTGGCATTGTAGAACGTGACGTTTTGCCAGTAACTGTGACTGGCATCCTCAGAGGTATAACACAGACAGATGGAGTACTTTCTGTGTCTAATACATTATAGTTTGTTTCACATTGCTGTAATCCTAATCTTATTGCATTGTTTATCAGATGTCCTATCCTACTGATTGCATCGATACACCCTGCCTTATCTGCTATGAGACTCTGTGAGAAGGTGGACTATAAATAAAGGAAATAAATACTGTAACATAGGATATTAATATCCTCATCAAAATGTTTTGCATTACTGAGCTATCTTTCTTCATTACAAACATGTACATTTCATGCAGTTTTTCCTGCTAATCTGCGGGGTTCAGTATTAAAACATTTGATATGTCAGCTATGTTCAAGGAGCTGCTTTTGATAATTTTCTTTAAATAAGGCTACCTTTTAAAACATTTTCCTTACAGAATTCTAATTCTTTTAGCCACCTGTTTGTTTGTTTTAATCCCAAAGGGGACAAACTGTCTTCACATTTTCTGAGTTTTTATTGGTTGTCCTTGTCAGTCACAGGCGACAATAGACAGAGTATTCTATTGCTATCTATAATTGACGTGATAAAGATCATAGATTACCATCCAACTATAAAAGGCAAACTGTGCACATGCACAAACAGCATTGGATTAGGGCAACGTGGGGAAGCAAGATTTAATCAATCCCTTTAATTCTGTCCTGAAAAGTTAAGTATAAAGAACTTCTACAAAATACAGATGGTTCATTTGCCCACCCAGCCCCTGAAGGAAAGAAAACCCCCAACATTTTTAAAACCAATTTGCATAAGTTAATGTCAGATCAATGCATTTCTCAGGGCAGGGTGAAGACACTGTGGTTACCTCTTCAAACTGAATGAATGTTGAAATTCCTGGTTCCATGGCATTTACTTTTAATTAGTAAAATATTTTCAGTCAAGCTACGTAATCAGTAAAACCAAAAACTAATTATGCATTCTCCATGTGTCAAGGACAGGGGTCTTCAGTGCTTGCTCAATTTATATTAATTCTAATAAACTAAATCAGTTTTTATTAATTGGCTTAAAGGCTATCTGGTTGAAGTTTCAGTGTGTGCTCATAACACTTTTTTCATGGTTGGATTAGATTTATTGCAGTACTAAGACTATACAGAATTTTTTTTAATTATTAATCAAAATGTTAGTGGAAGAGATAAAGTTTTATTCAGTCCAGCAAGAGATCAAGTTTTTGCATTACTTGCCCGATACTTCACAATTCAAAACTGGCATCAATATTGACTGCTTACTCATTTCACATTTTGGCAAAGTGGCACCTTCCCACTCCCAGTTACTGATTGCACCACATGCTGATTGCACCACCAGGCTAATTTGTGAGAATTTATGGGAGGATTAATGCAAGGGTGTGGATGCAGTTAAATGTATGGAGAACTGGCCTCAGGGCATGAACTAATCATAAAGTTTTGACAGCATTATGGTTCTATGATCTCAAACATCTTGCATGACTAAATGAAGTTATGTTAAACTCAGATATAATTTGATCTAGCCCATCTGTCCTGTGACCTCAAAACAAATACTGTTGGGATAATAATGAGATATGGTACTGAATTTGAAGCACCATGACCAGAGTTGTGTTCATGGACAAAAGCTTTCCTGTCTCACCCTTCTCATTGCAGGCCATTGTGCTGCCCTGAAAAGTGGCTCCCGATGATGGAGGGCGGGGTTCCACTGGAGAGGTGTACAGCGTGGAAGCTACAACTGCTGCAGATCACTACTGGCACAGATCATTACTTGCAGAGATCACTACTCTTGTGTAAGCAAAAGTACTTTCTGTTTGCCTTAGGCACAGCTGGATCCAAACCAATGTTGTTTGAAGATAAACAATAATTATGTAGGGAGTTGCTTTCCGCAAGTATTACTTTGCTTTCTACAAGGAAGAGTTTTTGATTGTTTAAATCCTACAAGCTTTTCTGTGGTGAAAGAAGAACACTCCTTTTCTGTCACTGAAAATTTTATGTCTAGAACTGTGAGACTCACACAGACAAAAATCATGCAGAATGGGGACTGCAGTGAGGAGGGAAGCCAGGAGAGATGGAGCTAAAAATCTGTTTTATAATAAAGAGTTATTTTATGATAAAGGAGTTACAATACCATCTGGGCTGTCCTAAGGTGAGTTGCACCCTTTTAAACCCATTGACTTGAATGTACTTAAAAAGGATGTAGTTGTGCTCAAGATTGCACTGCAACCTATCTAGAACAATATATGTGGCACTTGAAATGTATCTGTTCACGGGTTAACTGTTGTGAAACCATAAATACTATGTTCTTTCCAGAGTGTTAGATTAGGATCTGGAGATCTGGGTTCATAATCCCCACTTGCCATAAAACTCACTGGATAATCTTGGGTCAGTCACCCTCTCAACCTACTCTACCTCACAGACTTGTTGTGAGGATATAATGAAGGAGGGGAAGCACTCACTGGAGGAAGAGCACAGTAAAAATGTATGAAAAGTAATAAGATATTACGTCATCCTTACCCAATGCTGGACATGGAAGGGGTTTAAAAGCTTCACAGCTTGTACACTCTCCATTTCTATAACCCACATATGAGTCACAAGGAAACGCAGTTATGTTACACTTCTGTTCCAAAGATGACATGAACAAAAAAACAGATCTCTGATGGTCACATTTGAAATACTGAGATCCTTAGAGTAAAAAAGGGGGGGAAAGCAGTAAGCATGTAATAGTGTGTTAGTTTTCCTAAGAGTAATACTAATCTTAACAGAACAAGAAAATAGCCACATTTCAAGGTAGGCATATGTTTTCATGTTATGGAAATATAATGTGGGGTTACAAGCTTTATGACCAAGAATGCAGTGCAGGAAATTTAGTGGCGGGGTAGTGAGTAGGGATGTGCATTTAGTTTGTCCGAACCGAATGCACCCCCGAAAATGGACCATTCGGATCCCTTTCGCGCTGCTGCAGGCCGATTCAGATTCTCTGATTTGAACTGGCTTGCTGCCGAATTGCCGCCGAATTTCAGTGGCAGTTCGGCCCCATTATATCCTATGGGCCATTGAAGTCAATGGTGAAAACATAGGGTATATTCTGGGGGCTGGAGGGGAGGGGGTTTGAGGGAGAGGCTCCAAACTGGCAGGGTAGCTGCTGGAGCCTCTTCCCAAGATACCAACCAAGTTTGAAGAACACTGGACTAGGGGGTCCAATTCTACGGGCCCCCAAACAGCTTGCCCTATCCCCTCCATTGTTCTCTATCATGGGGGAAAAGTAACTTTTTTCCCACCATAGAGAACAATGGAGGGGATAGGGGCAACCTGTTTGAGAGCCCGTAGAATTGGACCCCCTGGTCCAATGCTCTTCAAACTTGGTTGGTATCTTGGGGAGAGGCTCCAGCAGCTACCCTGTGAGTTTGGAGTCTCTCCCTCAAGCCCCCTCCCCTCCAGCCCCCAGAATATACCCTATGTTTTCACCATTGACTTCAATGGCCCATAGGATATAATGGGGCTGAAATTGACATTTGGCTGGCTGAAAGACTCCCGAATCGGCTTGTACTGCCAGCTGAAATTGATTCTGCCCGATTCAGCCGAATCCGAATGGGCCGATTTTTTTTTTGCACACCCCTAGTGGTGAGTATAACACCTGCTCATTTTTTAAAATGCCAAATCAGCCTCCTACTGGGGACTATGGCAAAAGATACTTCTCTGACAATCAGTTGCACATTTTTGGTAGACTTATATCACAGAACAGAAAGCTTACACTGAAATCATTTTGCACAGCCTCTGTTTCTACTGTAAGTCTCATCCCCACTTCCATTTCTTCTCACCTTTCATTTGAGACAATCAATCCACCTTTATTGGCATAACATACAGAGCATACAACTCAATTTGCAAAGAATACTGAACATCTTCCTAAAACTTCATACAAAATTTTTGCAACAGTTTCAATTATTACATGGTTCTGGGTTGTCAACAAAAAGTAAATCTTACCTTGATCAGGTTTATCTGAATACTTTCTCAACCAAGGCTCAATGAATATAAAGCACAAGTCCAAATAAAAAGTGCATGAGAGAAACATGTGTTCTAGAATTTCAATCTCCCATTCAGTCCAAGTGCACAATCTGTTGTTGAATGTTTGGTGGCAAGTATCAGCATTCCCAAAAGAACAGACAGTGAATTGGATGGATCTAATGAATTGTGAACAGAACAAGTTCATAGAATGGTTCTCTCCACTCTTTTTTTTTGTAACCCCTCCCCAAAAAAACCTGCTCCTCCAGATCAGATTACGTTAGGAACAGAATAAGATGCAGTACATGGAGGAAAAGGAATTGGCAAAAGTCACCCCTTCTCCTCTTGCATGACCTCTTTCATGATTCTTGCCCTTCTTGCTGCAGTCCCCGATGCCACATCCTACTCTGCTCTCAGGGGACCTTCAACAGCAGCTGGGGGAGGCAAAGGAAACTGTGAGGAAAGGGGGAGAGATCCATTATTGGAGCTTGTTCCATTCATAGTTCATTGGCTCTAGTCCACTATTATTGGGAAATGCAGAGACTTTTCCCCAGTGACATCTGAAGGTTATATGCTGATAGCTATGAAGACTGCATGGCCTGTGCAAGTCCTGTGATCTTGCCTTTGTTAAAACCCTGAACATGTTAATAGTGAGAACTTCTGATTCCAAAAGTAACTGCAGTGTGTAAGTTCATCCAATTAGAACTGTCAAACAGAATTAACTGTAACTATGCCTGGTTCAGGAAAGCCAGTCTATATATTATAATTTTTGCACTGCATAAGATACGAAGCCTGGTTTCCGGCCTGGTTATGGAACTGAAACAGCATTGGTCACCCTATGACCTGCACTGGGGGATAGACAGAGGGTATCTGAATCCTAGACTTCTCAATGGCTTTCAACACCATCTTATCATAGTATTCTTCTGGGACCACATTTCTGGATTGGGAGGCACTGTTTTGCAGTGGTTCTGGTCCTACCTGGAGGGTAGATTTCAGAACATGGTGCTAGAGGACTGCTGTTCAGCCCCTTGGCCTTTGGGGTCCCACAAGGCACCATCTTGTGCTCTATGCTTTTGCACATGTACATGAAACTTTTCGGTGAACTTATCTGGAGATTTGGGGTGGGTTGTCACCAATATGTGGATGACATTCAGCTCCACCTCACACTTCCATCCAATCCCAGGGAGGCTGTAGAAACTATGAACTTGCTTAGAGGCCATTTTGGAGTGGATGTGGGCTAATAAAGTGAAACTTAATCCCAATAAAATGAAGTGCAATGCAGAAGGTCTGCCCTGGGACTGCTGGTATCACCTGTTCTGGATGGGGCTGCACTCCCCTTGAATGAATAGGTCCATCATTTGAGAGTCCACTTGGGCCCAGGCCTACTGCTGGATAAGCAGGTGGCAACTATGGCTAGGTCATAGATAACATATCACACCAGTCTTTGTCCATCTACACTGACTCTCAATATGTTTCTGGGCACAATTCAAGGAATTGGTGTTAACCTTTAAAGCCTCGTTGCTTTGAATCAGAATGCCCGAAGGACCATTGTTTCATTACAAACCTACCCAGTAGTTATGGTCATCTTTTGAGTCCCTACTTTGGGTTCCCCCTGCCTTCTGGAATTAGGTGGGTGGCAACCCAGGAGACAGCATTCTTGGATGTGAAACCAACACTCTGTAACTCTCTCCCCAAAGATACCATTGGGATTTTTTGTTTTTCATTCTCTTAAAATGTGTTTTTATTACATATATTTTTAATCTGTTAACTGCCTTGGTGGGCCATTGGTAGCACCGTAGTGTTTAAAGCACTTCATATGCACTATTTCTGCAATACTCACAGCACAGAATTTGTTGGGACCCTTGCACCAGGAGCAAATTTATCTTCAACAGCATTCAGAAAAGTTATGAGACACTGAAATATTTTTAGTGAATTATCCCAGAAATGAAACATTTTATGTACTCCACATTACTGAATATTTTCACTGTTCAGTTACAAAAAGGCACCAGGTTAAATTCTACAGCATAGAAAAGACCATGAAGTCCTCCTATAAACATTTCCCATTGGCTGTGTATTCCCTTTATAAAATGAAACAAGACTGCAACCACAGTTGCAGTGTAATCCTAACAGAGTTACAGTCTTCTAAATCCAGTGAAGTCAATGGGTAGAAGGGTGTAATTCTGCTTAGGATCACACTGCTTGAAGTAGAAGTAGCACCTCAAAATGAACAGGTTAAGCACCTGCTTCCTGCACTGGCATTTCTATCTACTCCTTAAATGAAAATATGAGAACATTTAATTATTCGTTCAGCTGTGAATCCTGGTTAGGACCTTTCCTGATATTATTTTTAACCATAATTAATTTCTCCATATTTACCTCCAAGTATTGTCTGTGGACATCCTGGTTGATCTGTTCCTCCATTTGGGTAGAAGTCAATATTTCCCAAAGGCTTCCTGTAACCCAAAGCTAACAAAAACTCAACACACAATGAAGTAGAACATAAAAGGGATTTCAGAACAAATGAATCAACACTTAGCAAACACTAAGAATATTAATTTAAACATCACAAAGTGTTCCTTGTTTACACATTTGACAGAATGTAAAGAATAAAAGGAGCCCTGGTCTCAGTGGCTCAGGCTAGCCGAATCTCATCAAAAATAGGAAGTTGAGCAGTATCAGCCCTGGTTAGTGCTTGGATGGGAGGCCACCAAGGAGGTCTAGGGAGGCAGGCAATGGCAACCCACCTCTGTTCATCGCTAACCTTGAAAACCCCATGGAATTGTCATAAATTGGCTGAGACCTGGCAACACTTTCCATCACCCCCCCCCCCAAAAAAGAGAAGATTGATCATTCATATTCACTAAGGAAATAACAACAAGCAATGGACCCATATTACAACAATATCTTAATTAATGGATAAACTGGAATAAACTGAAAAAGGCAGTTTATCTGAAACTGAAAGCCCCACATTCTCAGTCATATTGGGGCTAAGATACTGTGTGAAGAAACTGGAAATAATTTCATGCTAAATCCAAAAATGATAATGCTACCATGGAGCCACAACATATTATGGATGGTGAAGATATGCCATGTTTTCCCAAAAATGGTCTTTTTCAGTGGCAAAGACAGTCTTCCCAAATGTTAGCCAGGTCAAAACCAAGGACATTCTAACATTTTTCTCTGAACTTAATCATTAGAAATTGTTTTATTTTTTTAAAAACACAATCATTATTTTTTTTTGAAAGGAGTATTTTGGATTTTCTCTGAACACCACTGTGGGCTCGCACAGAACTCCAATTGATATCACTGGCCATGCACCAAGGAATAATGAGCCTGATTATACTTGTACAAGAGGCGGGACCCACGATACTCATGGAGGGGGGAGTATTTCCTACAGCTCCCAGCCTGCAGAAGCAGCATCAGGTGAGCCCATCCTTCTGCCTCCCTCTACCCCCAGTGGTGACGGTGAGAAATCACTGGAGCAACAGAGAAGCTGCAAAAACTAAGCGGATATGACAGCAGTTCAGCCTCTGCCTGGACCCGCGTCCTGAAAGGGCAGTCCTTAACTCTAAGACACCCATCCCAGCCAATCCGCATCTTCCTCCGCCCCTGCGAACCAAGAATCCACCAATCGTAGAGCTCCAGCAGCAGCATGTGCTCTTTCCTTTTCCTCCCAGCACTTCTCTCTCTCTCTTTCTTTTTGGTGTCTCCCAAACTTCCTTTGTCAATCAATCGGGGAGACTACAAAGACTAACCCAGCCCCCCACCTAACTCCGAAGGCGGCGCGCCCAAAGAGAAGCAGTCAGGGGGGCGGGACGTCACTCGTCCCGCGAGCAATCAGGCCAGAGTTTTGGCTGTCCAGGGGCGGGGCGCGCAAAGTCTTCTTCGGCCACCTGTCTCTCCCAGCTTTTCATCCTTCCCCATCCCCCCCATTCCTTTCCTCACTTGGTTTATCCCGCTCTGGGCCTGGCTGAATTCGCAGCGCCATGGGGGAGGGGGACAGGTAGACGGAACCATTCAACCGGGCGTTGGAGGGAGGGAGGGGAGGAAAAAAAGAAAGGCGATTTAAAGAGACTGAGATGCGGCCTAAGCGGGGCTCTGCTGAGTGGGAGGTGGTCCGAAGGCAGGAGAGAGAACCCACCCATCAGGTGAGTTCATCCTTCTCCCTCCCTCTAGCCCCAGTGGTGACGGTGAGGACAGTCCGGAAACCTTTCTCCTTCCCCCCTCCCTCCCCTTACTTGCTTACTTACTTACTTCCCCACCCCTGCCTGGCCCCAACGGCGAGGCCCATGCGGATCCGAGCTGCCGGGCCCACAAAAACTCCAGCTCGGCAAGCCTTCGACCTTCCCCTTTCAAGTGGCAGCGGCGAGGTCTTGTCAGCCCGCTGAACTTTCTCCCTCCCTCTTCCCCTGGCAGCGGCAGCGAGGCTTTGTCGGCCGCCAACCTTTCCCCCCCTCAGCCCCCCCAGCAGTGGCAGCAAGGCCGGAGCTCCGCTCGCCAAACTTCCTCCTTCCCCCCTGGGCGGCGGCGGTGGCGGAAGGGAGGGATTTGCGGCTTACAGCCGCTAGCCGGCCAAGACTTCCCCCCACCCCCTCTCCTCCTGTTGCCACTGCCAAAGCTGTTCCAAGAGCGTTCCCTGCACATGCGCAGTGGACGCTCTTTTACTTTTGGGGGGATTTAAGTATCCCCCCGATATTTTTTCCAACTTTTCAGATTTTTGTGCACATCTGGGGACTGCCCCAAGTGTGCACAAACATCTCCCTCCCCCCCAGGTGCCCCCGATGTGCGGAAATAAGTATCCGCCTGCAGGGGGCGACTTCAGTATTAGATATATAGATACACTGGATATATGTTTCTCAAAGAACAGCCATCCCCTGCATCACAACATGGGAATTTCACCAGCAGTTTCTGATATAGCACAAGTGCCTGCTGGATACATACAAGCTCTTGGGCATATCTTAAGTAACTCCCCCTGAACACACACACTTAGGTTTACTTCTCAGCAAGTCCAGCCAAGAAATTCAGCATGCCTTTTACTCTAGAAAGTGATTCTAGTAATGCAAAACTGTGTAGTTACCATCAATGTCTGTATGGATAACATCAACAAACTGCGCATCAGTGTGATACAATCTCTCAGTTGGCTCTTTTCCACTAAATGATGGCCCTGCTGGGTCAAGACCTGGCATGAAAAATAAACATATTTACCTTTATTATAATAGGGTTTTCTATTTCTACAATGTACTAAGTAAGAAAGAGACCATTCCATGACAAAATATGCAGGCATGCATAAAATGTTTTTTTTCTATGGTTTAAGTTTAGGTAACACAAACAATACAAAATGAAACCATTACTTATATTAGCTACTAAATAATAGTGAGATTATGCATTAAGTTAATTAAATCAATTAACTCCCTCTGATTTGTTTGTATTCTTAACATCCTGACTCCCATATACAGTGGCTACAATGTGAACTATGAACATACTTGGGGCTTGTAAAAGGTCCTGGAGACACGGACCACGTCTTCTTCAACAATGCTTCAAGCAAATGAGATATACATGGAATCCGGCATCCATTCCCCTTTCCAAAGAGGGTAATGATCTCATGATTTACACAATGGGACTAAGCACAAGGTAAGTGCAACAGGACTTGCTTTCACAGAAGAAACACTAATATATTATTTCAACAGAACTTAAGAGGACTTCACCTTCACTAGATTTTGGCACCAGTGTTAAATACTGGGCTTTGATTTAATCCCACCAGTCATGTCACACTGGGCTGCATACCTCTTCTTCTTTAGAGAGATAATAATCTTCTGCAGAACAGTCATGTATAACTGGCTCAGGGCTTGCCTACATTATATGCTCCCCGCAAGTGTGTGATGTTGATTTAATCAGCAGCTGACCTATATAGGTTCTATGATGAAACCTAGGCTAGGTGTGGGTGTCACTAGAAGCTGTGTTTTCCTGGTTTAAGCTGCAGCTCTTTGAGGCAGACCAAATAGTCTAACTAAGAGTATAAGGATGAACATCTACTGTAAATTCAGTCTCACAGCTTCTGTATGGTGACTAAATTGGAGTTTACTTGTTCATTACCTATAGGAAACTGAATGATTTAGTATGCAAAGAGAACTATGCCACTGAATATTCCACAAATTGGTAAGAGTCTTACCTGTTATTCTGCCAATTTTTCCACTGTATGCCTTTCCAACGAATCCAGCTATATGAGCCCCAAGGCTTACTCCAATCATGTAAATAGAATCAAGGGAGGCTCCATTTTCCTGCCAGTAAATACGCAGGGATAGGAAGTTACAGAAATGTGAATTTCAACATTTTTATGTCCTGTGTGTACACCAGTATATATTGTTCGTCAAATGTCCAGTTTTGTTTGCTGGTTTTGGAAGCCTAAAGACTTTCCAAAAGGCGGTGTGTGACCTTAATTTATTGAAAATGTCAGAAGGGATGTTCTTTACAACAAAGATAGAAAACTAACATTGTTTCTGAATGTATGACCATAGCTTAAATAACATATACTTTAGTGCACTTGGGTAATGCGACTATCATTTTTAATGATGGGGAAAATGTCTTCTTCCAATTCATTTGATTGTAAATTTGTTCTCATTTGATCAAGTATTCTAAATTGGACTGAAAATAGAGGTATGTATGAATGAAATGAGTAACACTGTGTGAATCAAGCATTGTGCCAGATTGGGGGGTCCTTACCATTCGTCAATGACCCTGACTCAGTGGAAAGAAGCCAGTAGCCTTAGAGTGAGAGTGAAGGGATTGGTAAGACGCACCAGATCCTTCTCTCTATGGTCTTTTTTTGCAGGTTAGAAGCAAGAAGCCAGCACTTCTTCTTGGGCTGGCTCCCAACCTCTTATGAAGGCACCTCTGCATGCTACAGATGTCCAGTTTGCACTTCCAGCCTCTCAGAAGGACGTTGCTTCCCCCAAGGGCATGTATTTGGTTCCCTTGGCAGCTGTAGCTACTTCCCACCCACTCAGACCCTCCGCCTCCCCTTGTGGACACCTCTCAGCTGTAAAACAGATAGCAAGCCATTAAAGGCTCAGACTGCTGTTGCCTCCTCCTGAAAAGGCAACAACTCTTCCCTCTTCCCCAGCCCATAAGCCTTTTAACCTCATCAGCAAAATATATACAAGGCACCTTCTAGATAAATTAGAATTATGGCTGGAACAGAAAGAAATTATCCCATTAGAACAAGCAGGTTTTAGAATAGAAAGGTCGACATCAGAGCACTGTTTGGTGCTGCAACAGCTAATCGAAAAATATTCTGGAAAGGACCCAACCTCTTTATATGCAGCCTTCATTGACTTGAATGCAGCTTTTGATTCCATCTCTAGACAAAGATTGTGGCAAAAACTTGAGTGCTCCAGCATAGACAAAAGATTGTTATATCTTGTCCGTGCCCTTCATGAGGAGTCATGCCTAAGAGTGAGATGCAATTCGCAGGGCCTACTTACTAACCCAATGAAAACCTTCAAGGGAGTCAGGCAGGGTTGCCTTTTGGCTCTCACATTATTTAACTATTATATTAGTGATATGGTGAAACATAGGACTGATATCAAATTCCACCCGCCGAAGCTCGCTTCTCGTCACTTTTCAGTACTGCTATATTTATTTATTTATTTATGTATAAATTCAATTTATAGCCCGCCCTCCCCACTGCGCGGGCTCAGGGCGGCGTACAATCAGGCATAAGCCAACATATAAAACATATTTTAAGCCATTTAAAATCATTCTACAATATAATGTATTGCTCTGGATGTTCCAAGTTGATTTTCCACAAGATGGCGTATTACTGCTGCTCTACCAACTCAGCGTCGTCTGTTCCGGGTAGTACTGACGTTCTTTCTTCCAGGGCCAGGTAATGATGGTACAGTAGTGGCAGCTCCTACTCAAATGCCTGGCAGAAGAGCTCCGTCTTGCAGGCCCTGTGGAACTGTGCAAGGTCCCGCAGGGCCCGAATCTCCTCCGGGAGCTCATTCCACCAGGTAGGAGCCGCCACCGAAAAAGCCCTGGCCCTGGTAGCGGCAGACGATGCAGATGATGCAGCCCTGTTATCTAGGACACTGCTAGGACTCCGTAGGGCACTAGACAATTTTGTAACATATTGGGACAAGGAACAGCTGGTGATGAATTTTGATAAAACAAAAGTGATGGCATTTGGCAGACGACCTAAGAAGCGTTCCTGGACCATGAAAGGGAATAAAATCGAAAAAGTAAACAAATTCATTTATCTGGGGGTGGCTATTCAGGACCATGGAGCAAATTCAGCACATTGTAACATGATGGTGGAGAAAGCCGAGAAAGCTGTGTGTGCTATTTTGAGATTTTTTCGATCCAAGGGGGGCTTATATGTCCCAGCAGTACTGAAGCTGTTCCAATTCAAAGTCTTAGCACAGCTCCTTTATGGCATTTATACAGGCATTTCTGCTGTAACTTACATGGTCTTTGACCGCAAATAAACATTCATTCCTTCATCCCTCCTTCCCACAATTTTTCCTAGATGGGGTCATTCCCCCTACCTCCACTAATGCCTTGCACAAAACCAAGTAAGAACTTTCAGGGGAATGTTGCTGACCCAGCTGAGCTCTGAGAAGGAGCAGGAGATAGAGCTGCTAGAGGGGTGGTTTTTTATTTGCTTTCAGCTGAGGTGATTTAGCTGAGAGGCTACTGTGTGGGGAGTGTGTTTGGGAGCATGTGGGTGAGTTGTTAGTTGCTGCAGAGTCCTGGCTGCTTGAGATGGGGTGTGAAAGGGTCATTGTTTGACTGTAATTGAGTGCCTGGGTGAATTTGAATAGCTGCTGGCCACACCCTCTGCTGGGGGAAGCTTCTATTTAAGGCAGCACCTTGCCATAGGCTTGAGCCTCTGGCATGAGCCAAAGGGTGAGAGCCAAAGGGCTCTTGGCCTGTGGCTCTTAGCCTAGGAGCTCTTAGACTAGGGACTCTGTAGGAAGACCAGGAAGAGCCAGAAAACCAGGGCCCTAGTCTCCTTGGGTTCCCAGTAAGGTAAGTAGACTTCTACAAGGAGAACCACATAAATACAAAGGGTTTTGAAAGGGGGATTATATATAATTATTATTTTAAAAGCAATTATGAAGCCAGAATGCCAGCAGGGGGTTGGGTGTTATCCAGTGTATTGCACAGAGTGTCACATATATGACTATCTGCCCACTGGGCAGAAGTCTTGGGTGTGCAATTATGCAATTATGAAGCCAGAATGCCAGCAGGGGGTTGGGTGTTATCCAGTGTATTGCACAGAGTGTCACATATATGACTATCTGCCCACTGGGCAGAAGTCTTGGGTGTGTGCCGGGTGCAAGGAGCTCCTGGTTCTCAGGGAACGAGTTTGCTCCCTTGAGGCCAAGGTGGCAGACCTGGAGAAGCAGAGACAGTCAGTAAGGTGCACGGAGAAGACTCTTAGAAACTTGTTAGATATGCCCCACTCTGAATATGGCAGCCCCGCCGCTGTCAGGGAGCATGAGGGTCGAGAAGAAACAGGGCACCGTGCTGCGGATAAGGGGAATGTGCCCTCAGAAGGGACCTCTTCTTCAGCTTGTGAATGGGTATCCTTTTGCACCAAGGAACCATACCTGGGCAGGGAGGGAGGGGGGCTCTTGGTAGTTGGTGATTTGATCCTTAGGCAGGTAGACAGCTGGGTGGTGAACCTGCATTCTGACCGTATGGTGACTTGCCTGCCTGGTGCAAAGGTAGCAGACATTACATGTGTTCTAGATAGGAGCCAGTGGTTGTGGTACATGTTGGCACCTACAATGTGAGGAAATGCAGTCGTGAGGTTCTGGAGGAAAAATTTAGGTTGCTAGGCAGGAAGCTCAAGACCAGGACATCCAAGGTAGCCTTCTCAGAAGTGCTACCTGTTCCACGTGCAGGGCCGGAGAGACAGGCACATATTAGTGGTCTCAATGCATGGATGAGACGATGGTGTAGAGGGGAAGGGTTCAAGTTTGTTAGGCACTGGGGTGCTTTTTGGAACAAGAGGGAGCTGTACAAAAAGAGACTGTCTCCACTTGTCCCAAGAAGGAACCAGGCTGCTAGCGCTTAAAATCAAAAAGGTGGCAGAGCAGTTTTTAAACTGAATATTGGGGGAAAGCCGACAGGAGATGAAACGTTTCTGGTTCGGGATGGCTCATCTCAAAGAGTTGAAGGGCTAGCTGTTACTTTTCTACAAGGAAATGGATAAGAATTGTCCACTGATACTATAGCTAATGATATGGACTGCCTGGCAAGGTCTCAAGGCAGCAAGAGGAAGGTTTTGGGCTTAACATGCATGGGAAACTATAGGTGTTTATACACAAATGCTAGAAGTGTCTGAGGTAAAATTGGGGAATTGGAATGCTTTGTGTTTGGGGAAAAACAGGCATTGTGGGTATTTCAGAAACTTGGTGGGTTGGGGAAAACCAGTGGGATACAGTGATTCCTGGTTATAAATTATATCGGAAGGATAGGGGGAAGGGATGGAGGTGGAGTGGCTCTGTATGTTAGAGAGGGTATACAGTCCAGGAAGATTGAGAGGGTAAGACAATTGGATTTGCTTCTGGAAATGCTATGGGTTGAAGTAGTGAGCCCAAAAGGTCCCCATTATAGGGACATTACTTCCCCGATACTTTCAGTGATATGAAAATTGTAGGCAGAATGCTCATAATGGGAACAACATAATGAAGTAGAAGAAATAAATTAGCACGGGGAGGGGGGCCTTACTCGTGTGATGTTGATTTTGTTGCGTGATGTTGAGCGGTGCGTACAGAAGGTATTTTTGGCCTTATGTCTGCTCCTCGACAAGACGGAAGTGGTCTCGGAGAGCCCTGGTCTGGTTCCTTCTCCCAGCTTCAAACGGAAGCGTATCTAAATGACGCTACCCTGGCGGGATCCCATCGCACCCCTGCAGAGGCCAACCATTTCCACCACTGTGGCCCTGGACCACTCAGGATGCTCCCTCGGGGCCTGCAAGACAGAGCTCTTCCACCAGACTTTTAGTTCCACACTCTGTTGGGCCTCCCCTCCAGTGGATCAGATCCGTGTCATCATCTGGGACCCAAATTATACTAGACTTGATCTGTTGTGGCGCGGGCTAGAAACAGGGGAATCAGTAATGGTGTTTTAACGGATGCATTTAATTGTTTCTAACTGTTTGGATATTATTTATGATGGAACTGCCCTGAGCCTGCTATGCAGGGAGGGTAGGATGCAAATCCAATAAAGTAATTTTTTTTAAAAACCCACAAATTTTGGATATCAT